ACAGAGATCGATAAAAAACTTATCATTTTTAAAAACTGTAAAATGTCTCGTAAAAAACTTATCATTTTTAAAACTACAAGAATCAAATAAAAAAATAAACCAGAAAAGAAAAAGAAAGGTGAAAATTGTAAATTTTTTAAAGAATAAAGCTCTCAGACAAATATATATTTATTTTAATATATTTTCTTTCATATAATAATTTAAAAGAATGTTTCTTATACAATTTAGTGTATAGAAGAAGAAAATAAAGCATCTCGCAACTAGTCTACACTAATTTCTAATTTTTTTTATTCTTTTTGAAGTAATTAAATAACTTATTGTTAGAGTATAATGTTTATCACTCCTTTTAGCATAGAGTTATTGCATTCAACTTGTATATTTGAAATTTACTATTTATACAGCATGTAACTTCATGTAATAAAACTTATGTTACATGGATTATTTACAAGCTTAAGATGATTTTTTCTTCTTCTATAATTCATGAATGGGTAATACAACACAATAAATATAAATAAAAGTGTAAAAAATTATAAAATGATATTTTATGATTGATAGTGTTTTTAAAATAGTTAGATTTAATTATTTTAAGATTAAGATATTTAATATAAATAAAAAGTTGATAATCGAGTTTTATTATTTTTTAAAAGAGTGCATTATTTTTTAGAGTTTTCTGAATTCTCTCTCATTTCTCACTTTGTGTTATCCAATTTGAAGATCGAAGACGGTTAGTACAATCCTTACGACGAGTCTTTCATGTCTAATCGATTAGTTCTTCTATTCAAATAAGTTAATATTTTTCAGCTTTCATTGCATCAAATATGTCATCTTCTTGAATGTGTACCCTGTTTTTGGGTTGCATGTGCTCTTTTAATTTTCAATATGGTTATCTGTTAATTAGTGATCATAATAATAATGACCTGTGTGCAATTTTAAATAAAGTGTCCTATGGGCTTTAAGGTTTGTGTGTCATTTTAGAATTTGGGGAACATTTTACCAGGTAAGGAAGCTAGTCTATGATCTTAATTTTTTAGTTTTGCTTGCTTGAATTGAGTAATGCATGTTGATGGTGTGACAATTTTGGTGTTATGGTACTACTTAATAAAAGTTAATGTGTAAACACTATAATTTATGAGTTATATTGGTGTTGTATGTGTTGTTGAAATTTTGATGAATTGTGGTTTTATATTGAAATGGAATGAAGTAATTCTAAATTGAACAATTAACTTAATTGGTGTTAATTAAAGACTAATTTACATATATTTGAACTAAAGAGAATGATAAAGGTATCAATTAGAGTTAATTGTGCAAGTTATATTTTTTCACATTCAATTTATGTTTTCCATCATGACATTGGGTGGTAGAATAAAGCATTGGGTGCAGTTAAAATTTCAAAGTTTGGAGCATTTTCGCTCCAAGGCGTAAGGCGCAGATGGCGCAGCCGGGTGCCACTTTAATAGTGGCTCCTTGACTTGGTTATTGTTGGGTGAGCCTTTGATCCGTTGAGCAAAACCAAAGTCAGTGAACTCGTTGACTTTTGTGTTGTTAGGCGTCATCTTGTGTAGTTGGATGTCAACCGTTAAAATTCATCCAGAGGTGTTCTAGGAGTTCTGTTGCTAGGCACTAGGTTTCGTCGCTAGGCATTAGATCCTTGGAGTTGAGCACACCTCTGATACCATTGCATCTTTGAGTGATTATTTTATGATATCAAGTGTGATCTTAATACTATATTTGGTTTGTAAAGTGAATCAAATGTATGAATAAATGAGTTGTGAGACATTTGCAAGGAGGAAATTGTACTTAATATGTGTTTCTTGAGAGTAAGGATTAATCCATTTTGTAAAGCTATCATGAATTCTATTAACCATTCATACTCATGCAGATGAGATTGGTTAAGTGATGAGAGTGACGGGAGGTCTTGTCATAAAGACGATTTTAGAGTTTTTATGATTGTTATATGAATTGACCTTGCGCGAGACAACTTATTAGAGCAGCTCGATAAAGCAATATATATCACCACAAGTGCAAGGTTTCACAAGTTTAACTTAAGTGCACTTATCTTGATAAATTTACTCTACAAAAGTTTGATTGTATGGGTTAATTTGTGAATAACTGTATTTATATATAAATGTGTTAATTAAATGGATTTGTGTATTTAGTATTTATTTATATTTATTTCTTAACTAGCTTACCGTATTTTTTTTATTGTCTTCTTATGTGCCTTCTTCTTACAATAATCATCATCGTGGTGTGAATAGAGGATGATGTACGACTTGATGCATCTTAGGATGTTGAAGAGCCTTCAGTTTAATCCTTAAGATAGTAGTTCCTAATTGTAAAGTCGAGTGTTGTGGGAATTTATGTATATAGTTGAGTAGTTTCCTTATGTAATATGTTAGTATGATATCATTCCTTTTGAATAGCTGAGTTAATATTATATAATATGTTATTGATTAGTAGATATGAAATGTCAAGTAATTTTTTCTCTTAAATGAAATGTTAAAAAGAATAAAACTTTTTAGAACAAAGTTTCAAACTTTTTCTTATTTCTCTCTCAAGCTTTCTACTTCTTGATTTTGTCTATTTTCTTATTTGATTTTATTTTTGAATATGTTTTTACTTCTTTTACTCACTCAAACAAAATTAAATGTTGATAAGTACATTTTTAAATATGCCATTATATAAGTAAATAGATTTAATATTATATATAACAATTTATAAAAGGTAACACATTTGCTTCATTTTTAAAAATAAAAACATATCCAAACTTTAAAAGGCTATTTTGTGTGATAAAGAAAAGTTGTGATAAAAATTTAAAAATTTCACTTAACAATCTTTTGTGAAGAGCAATAAACAAGATGTGAATTTTGAAAAGAAAAAATAATCAATAATTTAGGAGGTGTTTAATTTTTTTATAAAACATTTTTTAAATTAGAAAATATAATTATTATTTAAACAATAGTAATAAAAAGAACATAGAATGCTATATATTTATTTAAAATTAAATGAAAAATATTTTACTCTACAATACATTTCTCAAATATACCCTTATCAAGCATTTTTCATTCTATTTTGTAAATAAAAAATATTTAGTATTTAATAAATGGTGAAATATGTTAATGAAATAAAATACAAGATGTTTTGTTTCACTCTAATAGCATTAGTAAAACAAATTGTGGCGCATTAAAAGATGACATGTTCCTTATTTGTTGCTAAATTATTGGTAAGCTGAGACTAATGTTGGTTAATATTTTGTCAACCAAAGCCCATCGCAACTTACAGGTATGTGGAAGTATCTACATAAATAAGTAGAGGTGACAAATAATAGACATGAAGAATGGAACAATGAGAGTCGTGTGGGCCCAAGATACAATGGAGCACAAACTTTTGGGAATTTCTTTGTGCATTCTCATATTTCCTTTTTGCACTCTCACATATATGAAAATTTCCATTTTGTTCTTAAAAAGTGGTGACTATACAATTTGGAAACTTTTTTAACTAATGAATTTTGTAATTTGAAAGCCTAGCTTACTTTCAAATTGTGTAAATTTGGAGGTTTTCTTTACTTTTAGATTGTGCAGTTGAAATATTTTTTTTCACGATTTTTTTTTAGATTTCACAGTTCAAAATTAACTCTTTTATAAGAAAATGTTTTGAATTATGTAATTTGGAAGTGTCTTTAAAATACATATCTGAAAATTATTTTTTTTATTACAGATTCTAACATAATCTAAAAGTTTTTTGTTATAAAAAATCAACTTTTTAAAATTGTACAATATGAAAATGAAAAATAGTTTTTGAATTGTGCTAATTAGAATACTTTTATTTTTTGGTTGTTTGACCATGCACTTCCAATATTGTGCTAAATAGAATTATTTGAAGGTGTTGGGTGAAGTTTTGGAGATGCATGGAGAAGCTTCTTTTCTGAAAATAATTTTACAATCTTTTTTATTGGATTTCAAAATTTGATAATTTTTTTTTTTAAATTTAATTAGATTTTGAAGTCTGATGAAAAAAAATCTTTCATCGAATTTCAAATTTTGATGGAGAAAATAATCTTTCATCAAATTTTGAAATTCGATAAAAAAAATTCATCAAATTTCGAAATATGATGAAACTCAAGAAATGGATTATAGGATTTTTTGAATTGCAAAAAAGAGATTTGAAATTTTAAAAAGATTTGAAAATGCAAGATGAAATGATTGGAGATTGAAGGTGAAACAGCCTTATTCCTTCGGTGAATTCATTTATGACCCAACACATACATCAGGACGAGGCTATGAGGAAGATTAATCGTTTGACCAACTTCATTGGGCTGCACATGAAAAGTATGGGTGTTGCTTTCTACACCCCCATCAAATTTCTGCTTACACCCTATTAAAGAGGTTCCTGATTTTTCTGTAATAGGAGAGGGTTATTGCTTTCTGGAAAAAAAAATTCAGAGTTGTTTATAGTGTTCCATAAAATAAATTCCGGAAGCGATAGGGTGCTGGAAGAAATATGACAAGGTGCAGAAAGCAATAGCCGAAGTATGGGGTTCATAAAGAAATGGCCCAAGCTTTTTTGGGCCAAGTGAGCCGTCTAAGAATGTGAGGCTCCCTTTACTTTTATCTACAATACTTTTAGTTCTTTAATTTTTCAGTGGTTGCAAATATAGAAGGATTCAATTAAGCTTTTTAATCCGATAATGGCACAGATACCTCAATATAGTAAAATAAATATATTTTCTTAAAGATTACTTCACATGCTCCCCCTGCTAGTCTTATTACGTAATAAAATTATTTGAATAAAATAAAAAAGTAAAAATAATTAATTAAAAGTAACATAAAAAAACCCTAAAAATAACATTTTTTTATAATATAATAGTATATATATATATATATATATATATAAAGAATATAGGGGTTAGTTTGATTTAATATGAAGGTTAATATGAGTAGTGGAAAGAGAATGGTCGATGGATAACATAGCAAAAGGCAGAACATAAAGAGGATGAGGCTTTCGCTGCCGACCATTCATCGAAGATAATATATGAAGAGTTGCATGCACTGTTTCAGTCATATTGTTACTATTATATCCCTCCTACAACATAAGCAGAAACAGAGACAACAGCACAACCTCAATCTCTGTCTCTAATGGCACTCAGGATGTGGGCTTCTTCCACTGCCAATGCACTCAAACTCTCTTCTGCCTCCAGACCCCATCTTCTTCCTCCTTTTTCTTTCTCCAGATGCTTATCTACTGGTATTTACACTTCTTTCTCCACATTCATATCTCTATCAAAATATCATCGTCACACTCTTTTTTCTTCTTTCACAGTCTTGGATGGACTCAAGTACGCAGAATCACACGAGTGGGTCAAGCACGAAGGCTCAGTCGCCACCATTGGTATCACTGACCATGCCCAGGTTCGTTCCTTCCACCCCTTCTGCACTTAATCAGACAACACTAAATTATCGTTTTTTATTTGTTTTCTGGTTGCTTCTCCTTATTTCTTACGCAAACATCAACTTCAGTAGGCTTATGTGTTTTTTGGTTACAAAACTTTCTTCCTTACGATTTAGCAGAAAACTTGTACAGTTGTTTGTGCAAGTTCTACGTGTATTACAATATAATTTCAACGAAACTTCTAGTTGAGATATTAATGTTCATAGTAATATCTAACATATCTAACATGACATTATTTGAAGACTTAGCTTTGCAATAATTGCAGGGCCATCTTGGAGAGGTTGTGTTTGTGGAGCTGCCAGAAGCAGGTGTTACAGTGTCCAAGAGTTCTTGGTTTGGAGCTGTTGAAAGTGTGAAAGCATCAAGTGATATAAACTCTCCAATATCAGGGGAGGTTGTTGAGGTTAACAAAAAGCTCACAGAAAAGCCTGGCCTGGTGATAAATTCTAACCTTTAACAACCCTGTTTCTTTCTTCTACTTTATCTCAGGAAGTTAATCAATAATTATGTTAAGTATGGTTTAAGTCCCACCATTAGATATGTATAAATGCTTATAAATATTATCTTACAAGTTGTTTTTTTTAAGTAGGATTATTATAAACATTAAAAGAACTTTTATATATGCATGCTTATACATATTATCTTACTGTGCATGTACTATTTTCTTGTAATGAGAAACTTATAGTTATTTTTGTATTTTTGGCATTTGAATTAAGGTAAACTCAAGCCCATACGAAGATGGATGGATGATCAAAGTAAAGCCAAGTGATCCTTCTGAGTTAGAGTCGTTGTTGGGTCCAAAGGAATACACAAAATTTTGTGAGGAAGAAGACGCTAGCCATTGAAGTTTGGATTGGCTCCTCACTTTTATTCATGTGTTTATCATCTTATTATCTTTCTGAACAGTTTTTTTAATATGCAATAGAACTGTTTCTTTCCATTTTTCCTTCCTCTGCTTTTCTCTTCTGTCACCGACACTTTTCAGTGTCTCTGCGTTATGATTTCTTTAATAAAACTGTTTCTTTTTTTAATTACAGAGATAATGATATTGTCATAATAATAAACCTGTTTTTGAACATAAATGCATCATTCGAAAGAACACATTCTGTTTCAAGAAAAAAAGAGTAAATTTGACTCTTTCCATACTTCATATAAGCTGTGGCTGTATGTTTATGTTTTCTTGTAGAGAAATATTTTTATGTTTGACCTTTGTGGGTATGATGTGACCTTAGAAGTTACACCTTAACTCGAATAAATTTACTAAAATTCTAATATCATATTAGAAAAAGTTGATTTTAAGTTTACCATAACTTTATTAAAATGATAAAATGATGTAAAATTTATTTGTGAAAAAGAGTTCCAACAAACTCTCCTATTCCATATCAAAATGTGATGGATCGAATGCATTTATTTAGCTCAATTAGTAATATTGAATTCGTGAGATTGATTCTTACACACCTTATTAATGATGTGAAAAAATTGAATTATTCTAACCTCTTAACAATGAATATATAGAATTTGTGAAAAAAATGATTGCTGTCTTGGTTGATGAAACAAGTAAGAAATAATCACAGTTGAAATTTGAAAAATTCTAAAAAAAGCTATAATAATAAAATAATTTTGTTTGTGGAATATTTGATAATATAACATAATTTAAATCTTATCATATCATAGAGATGAATTAATATAAAGATAATCGACGTTTTTCTTTATGTCTTTTATTATTTGTTTTTCTTTATGTCTTTTATTACTTGTTTTTCTTTCAACTAACTATATTTGATTTGACACGTCCTTATGATGTTCCTTTTTTGAAAGCGATAAAATACAATTATTTTTATCAAGCTCTTAATAAATTGTTATTTGATAAGAAAAAATGTTATCTACTAAAAGGATTTGTAAAAGTTAAATTATATTAACTATCGATTCAAATCAATATTAGTTTTTGAATGGTCAATTTGGTTGAAAATAATTTTATGATAATTAATATTTTAAAAGAGATATGAGAAAAAGAGTAAGCAAGGTGAAGGCAGAAATTACATATTAAAAAATAATCATAAATTATAAGAGTAACAAAATATTAAAAAATAATCATAAATTATAAGAGTAACAAAACATGTTAATATGATTTGTTTAAGCTTAATCACTTAACTAAGAACATGTTGAGGATTATAACTCATTGTCAATCCTTTATCTGGTTGGGCTCATATCTCATTGGTGTTTGTATTTTTTTGGTGAACCTCCTCCTTGTTAGACTTAACAGTGGTATCAGAGTCGTTGGTTTGTCTTGGTGAGCGACTGACAAGTATAATGGTCCCTATACCGAAAGTCTTCTTGGCAAAAGGTATTCAGATAAGCGAGTTCCGTTAAGATAAATGGCGGTTGGAAATGGCTACTCGTGGTTGTGGTTAGTTGAGAATGCTTCCACTAGAGGGGGAATGTACCTATGTGGAAGGGACTCACCCTTGAGGGAGAGATTATTGAGAATCCAAGTGTGAGTCTAAATCCCATATTGGATAGAAATGAGAAAGTAGAGCATTATGTAAAGATGAAAGACCCATTAAGTCATTGCCTTAAGGATTTGGATACAGAGTTATGTCAATCCTTTATGTAGTTGGGCTCATAATGATAACTTTTTGGACGGATTCCAAGCTAAAAGGACATAAATAAATTATCGACTAAACTGTTTCACCTAACTAACCCGCATGATTGGCCTGGTCGTAAGATTGGCCCGTTAGACTCGACCTTTCATCCTTAATAAATTATAAATTTTTAGATCTATGGAATCATTATTAAACATTCATTATTAATATTATCCCAAATTTAGGCAGGAAATTACAAACTCACCTTTTTTTTTTTTTTTATAAAAATCATGTAAAATATTTAAAATTATCTTCAGGGCCAGGTGTTAAACAGTGACAAAAGAGAGTAGACTGGCTTTAAAATAAAGACTGATGGAGATAAATATATAAGACAAATTTTAAGGATTTAAGTTAGTATGAGTATTTTCCTGCACGAGTGATTTATTACTTTTGTAAAACTAATTGCATATTTATGGTATAAGGAACAAATGGCCTAAATTAGCTAAAATGGAATACTATAGTACAAAAAGAAATAAGAATGATGATATGGACTAATTAAATTATAAAAACTACAGAAATTGGAATTACAGAATTTTTTGTCAAAGTAAAAACCAAAGCCTTTTTCATCTTTTTCTCTCCCTATTTTTCTTCTACCCAAAGCGAAAATTACATAACTTTCTCCATTATATAATACATAAGTTACTCATTTTATTTTCTAAAAGTATCACAAATATTACATTTCACGTATATAAGCTCTGCAAAACTATTTGCAACTTTCTACAGTTTTTTTGTTCCTTTAACTTTTCACGATCATTTTGAAGTATATGTATCTAATGATTTATGTGAGTTTTATAATTCTTGCAGAGCAGTTATCTAAGGGCCTTTGCAATGGTAGATAAGTGATTCGACAATCTGGGTTAACTCTCTCCATCCTGCACCATTCAAATGTTTAAGACCAATCAGATTCAAACAAATATAACATAAAACAATGCTTCCTTTGACTAACCTTCTAAGACAAAAAATAAAATAAAAAATTCAAAAATATGTAAAAAATAGATGAAACCTGTAGTTAAGAAGAAAATGATGGAGGAAAATGGTGATCTCAAGTTTGGCCAGGTCGCTCCCAGGACAAAATCTGCTTCCTAATCCAAATGGAATAAAAGAACCTGCTCTTGCTGTGTTATTCTGCAGAATACATAATTTTAACACACATAACATATCATCTTCTGTTCCTCAAAAATCAAACTCACAAGTTCAAGAATGAGTGGAAGAACTTTTTTTTTCTGAAAAATTAATTACTATATATCATACATACTTCCCATCTGGAAGGATTGAATTCCTTTGGATTGTTGTAAGTTTCAGGGTCCATATGCACCCCTCGGTTCCAAACCAGAACTTTCCATCCTTTTGGTATAGTAAAACCTGCAATTTTTCATTTTTCGTGAATGCTAAGGTACTGTAATGAACGAAAATTTTCAAATGTTGTAAGAAATACTGAAAAATATGGGCACTGAATAACTAAACTAAACTAACCATTGATGCTGAGGTCAACCTTTGCCTGTCTAAAGTTCGCAAACGAGATAGATGTTTTGCGCAGCATCTCATGAATAACCTATTCAGAATATAGTTTTCTCAAATTTAAACAGCTTCGTTTCTCATCTTAATGATTCAGACCCTCATAAACACAGATTACATGCCATCAAGAACTTATATATATAAATATAAATCTATATACCTTTGAAAGATATTCCATTTGCTTAATTTCCTTTATGTTCAGTCCTTTCTGAGTGGAGGGTCTTGCTTGCATGATCTCTTCTTGTTCTTTCTGGAAGGTGCAAAGTTCTGTGAGTAAAACCCCTGATAAACAATATAGAAAAATGAAAAAGCTATGAAAACCTTAGCCCTTTGGAAGAAATGTGAGTGTTGTGTGAGGTAGATGATAGTCCACAATATTCCATGAGCAGAACTTTCGTGGCCAGCTAACAAGAACACCAGAAGTAAGTCTATAATGTCTTCGTCCTCCAGCTGCTTACCCTCTTCATCTTTCACTTCCATCAATGAATCCATCATATCCCTTTTCGTCTTTCTTTTTCTACTGTTGCTCCTTCTCTTTAGCTCCACCACACCTTGCAGCAACTTCGTCAACTTCTTTCGTGCCTGAATACACATACATTAAATATTAAAACCGACACCATCACAAAACCGCGATTAACTGCTAAATTCAACATCATAGAATTACGTTACAGCATGTTGGATTTGTTTTCCTTCTCCACGCCAGTTGGCATTGACAGTTACCAATCTCTACCCACTCCAGTTTCACAAGAAATTAGTTAATTTACTTAATTAACTAAACGTTGTTCCTGATTTTGATTAATTAAGGTTGTGGTCTAGGCTTAAAATAATAATTAACCTTGACTGCTTTATAGAATGCAAAGCCTGGGAGATTGATAGGCAGTGACTTAATTCCGCGACTGAAATCTCTGTACAAGTTTTCGACCAAGCCAAGATCCACATGGTGAACATCAGAGCCCATGAAAATGGTGGTGATGATCTTAAAAGCGAACTTTCTCAACTCTGTGAGGAACTCAGAAGGAGTGCTCATGCTAGACAACTCTTCCAGCAGTTTGACAGAAGCATCTTCTATGAGACCTACGTACATGGACAATGCCTCGTGGCCAGTTATGGGAGAGGTGGTTAAGCGACGAAGACGCTTGTGTTCCTCATTTGAGATGCCATGGAACGATCTCTTTCCAAAGAGGGAGGTGGTGGAAGCAGGGTATCCAAGCTTCAGTTGTTCATCATCTGTGAGAACCCTACGACATGTCTCTGGGGTGCATACGATGATGCTAGGGCTTCCAAATAAGAATGTTCTGTACATACCAGTCCTGCCATATCTATATACATATATACATAGTTTGTTGATCAGCCATTTCCATGGTGGACTCATTTTTTATGTGAAGTGTGGAGTGAAGAGAAAAGATATACCTGAAAACAAGATCATAGATAAAAAAATCAGGATCAGATTTGAAAGCTTTGAAGAAGGTGAGCATGTTTCCCAAGAAAGGCCAACCCAGATGACCGGGTGGAAGAGGGTGTTGCATGTTTCTTCCCACCCTTGAAACATAGTACCATTCATTCACTCTCCAAAGAAATCCAAAGACAAATGCATATCCACCCAACAAAGCTGCAAACAGGATGAACCACAAAGAATGCAGAAACATCATGCTGCTTATTTACATGCAAAGTCCAAAATTGTTGAAGGGTATTTATAAAGATTGAGAGAAATCAACTCTCATTTCATATATTATTGTCAACTATATTATTAAAAGGTTTTACACATAAACTTTTTACTCCTTCATAAATACCTCTTTGACAAGTTATACTGGTTATATAAATTTGATAAAGTACTTTTATGAGTGAAAAATGGCTTATATCTGAGAACATAGATATCACCTTTCCGTACTCCCTCTCTTTGTTGAAAAATTTAGGTTTTGATGATATATATATATATATATATATATATATATATATATATATATATATATGTTCATGGTGTTATGGGATTAATATTTGACTAATGACGGCTAGTTATTTGAGTGAAAGTTTAAGCAAAGATCTTTGGGACCCAACTCTAGAATTAATTATTTACTTAATTGGTTAATTAGCATTAATTGTGTTATACGAAACGACTTGCCTACTTGATATGGTGAATTAGGTGTAACCTTATAGAATATATAGTTAAAGGGTATTATTGTGTTTGAGTTCAAAATGTAGGAAGATATCAAAATCAGGGAAGAAATATTGCAGTTCTTAAACCTATGAAGTTTGACAAATTCTATGATTCGCATATACTTTCTTACAATGACTTTGTTGTGTCTGCAAGGTGGCAACAGGTTGGTTGATATGACGTTGTATATTCACTAAACTCCTCCGATATTACTCAATTTGAAGTGCACAACAAGTTTAGTTCAATCCTCCACGCGTATAACATGGTTATACATTTCCAACTTTATTTATTTTCTGAAGTTTCTTCCTTGAAAATTTCATACCAAAGTATGAATTTCTGTCTTGGAACAAAATTTTCATTTTCTACTCGTATACGTATCCGTGATTCCTTGAGAAGTTAAATGGAAATGGAGGAGTTGTGTCATTAACTTAATAATGGAAAAAAACTATTTTCATAATACACATTCTATATATAATAAATATTTAATTAAAACATAAATTAAATTATTAACAAAAGTTAGTAAAAATAATTGTATAATTTGCATACGATTGGGAAACAGCTGGTTAAATAATATTTCAGAATTGACTGTGTTGTTGAAAGTGAGGTATATTAAAAATATACTTTTTATAACTTTTCTACCGATAAACTCTTTCAGGAGTTCGCGGGACGGTGTCAGTTCAATGCCTTGGGTTACCTTAGTTGATTGGTTCATTCATACGAAGACCAAATTAAAGCTACTCGTTCAAAGTACTCATATATTGCTTATAATTTATAAAACTGAACTAAGGAGATGTGCTCTGAATTCAATTTCTCAGTTTAATTTGCACAAATGTTACACAGTTGACTGATATTGTTGAAGATCGGTGTAATTATCGAGATATTTGCAATATAACTACAAAATTTTGTAAATCAGTTTCTTTTATAAATCACTAGTGAATTATCAAAAATGAAATTTAATCAATAGTCTATTTTCTTATTTATTTCTATAAATAGAAATTATTCAATTAAGCTCTCATCATTAATTAATAAAACCTGACTGATATATTACGCAATAAATAACAATATACAATTAAAAAAATAATAATACTCTTTTTTGGGTACAAACAAAGTTTCACATTAAATAAAATAAGAGATGGACACGAGTTTATATATACATAATATACCTCCATTGGTAAGAGGCCTTTTGGAGTGATACCAAAAGCAAATCGATGAGGATTTGACCCAAAGCGGACAATATCCTACCAGTGTGGAGATCTATGTGTATGTGATGATTTTGAAAGTATTGTGATCCGATGATCAAGCACTACAAGCAAAGTTTGACTCAAACGAAACTCGAAATACTTAGAGCAAAGGTCCTGGAGGCCGAGGACGAGGTGGATGTAGTTGAGGCAATGAAGTGGAGCAACCAATCACATGTGGAGATGAATCTCTTTTTAATGAACTCACCAAGGTGGAGGTCAGATTTGTGTCTTTCGGAGATGACTCTAAGGTGGCCGTAAAGGGATGTGGAACAATCCGGCATATGCAGAAGGATGTGAGAGTTAGAGAGATTAGGGACATTTACTATGTTCCTAAGCTAAAGAGAAATATTTTAAGCATGGGTCAAATAATTGAAAAAGGCAATTCAGTTTTTATAAAAGACCAGATACTGCATTTAAAGGATAAGCATGGTCGTCTAGCAGCCAAGGTAAAAGCGAAGAAAAACCGATTGTATAAACTGCAGCTGAAGATCTTGCATAAAAGGTGTTTGAAGCAAGATATGACTAGCAAGAGCTCAGATAACTTCACTAGTGAGGTAAATGTAGCATGTTTGTTAACAGGTACAGAAGATATAAAATTTGAAGAAGCCATGCTTGATGAAAGATGGAAGAAAGCTATGGATGAAGAGATTCAGTGAATAGGGAGACTTATAGATGAAGCTAATGAAATTATGAATAAACAGAGGGTTGAGCTTGAGGAGTTGAAGAAGGCGACTCTTGAAAAGGAAGAGAAAATATCTAGTGTTCTTGAATCAGACAAAGAGGAAGATGAAGATGTTGAGAAGAACCCGATGAAGATGTCGCCCAATATTGTTGAGAAATCACCTAAGGTCAGAAACGAGTTGTCAAGGTTATTGAGAAGTCGGGCATAACAAAGTCAGTCAAAGCGTTAAAGAGGTCAACCAAGGTAAAAGACATGAGGGGCATAAGGAAAAAGAAGAAGTCAAATATGATTGAAAGAAGCAAGCCCGGTGTCGGATGATACACATGAAAAGCCAAAATAAAGGATGAAAATTTAAGTTTATGGGAGAGTTTTGTTAGAATAAACTTAAATTTTAGGGATTCATTAAAATCTTATTTTATTAGTTTTGGGTTTACTAATATTTGGTTTGATTTTGATAAAGATAAAATAGATATAGGTAGTTTTGATTTTCTTTTATTTAGGAGAGTATTATTTTATTTTATTGATATAAGATAGAGATAAACTAAGTATATTTTATTTTGTACTTCACCGAAAGCCCTATTTACACCTATTTAAAAATTGTCAAGCTTTAATAAAAAAGTAACCCAGTGAATTCAAGAATCAAATTATTTGTGTGGCTCACTTTTTTTAAAAAATTTAAATAAAAAATCACCCTTACAATAATAATGGTAATAAAAATGAAAATATCATCCTTACAATAATAATGATAATAAATATGAAAATATGACAAAATTTAAATTCTTGTTTTCTTTAATTTAAAATTTCTAATTGTAAATAATTCAATCACTTTCATTAAATTTTAAATTTCTATTTTATAAAAGTCCTTATCCAAACAATATGTTTAATTATAATATATTTTAATTTGTTTAAAAGATAAATTACCCTCTTAAATTCCTTGTCTAAACACACTATAAGCTGAATTTGCTTATATTTTTCACTGAAGAAAATAAATATACTCATGCACATTAAGTGAAGAACCAAAAAATCATTGAAGTTTTTATTGTTCCAAAATTACGAAAAGGTCTCAAATGAAATAAAAAGTCAATTCGATCTCATTTTATCTAGGCAAATTTTGTTTTCAAATTCGCAATTAGAGATGTGTCCCCATTTTACCATTGCTTAGTCAGCAAAAAAAAAAGAGTTTTTAACGCCTACTCAAAATTGTCATCCACAGCCTCCAACCGTACAATGAACAGAACCCAAGATTTTAGTGTCACTTCTCCACATATTGAATTTTCCATGAACATAAACAGAATACAGAACCAAGCATGTGTGACTGGTGAAAACAAGTGGTTGAAGATAGTCCACGTAGTATAGTCATAACCAATTCAGAACATTCGGTACAGCAGAAATTCAAAACATAATAAAACAAGTGTAGAATATATTACAGTCTATACTCCTCTGAAGTTTTATCAGATTTTGACATCGGGAGACTCAACATAGGAGATTGAAATCAATTCGGACCTAAACTTGTCATCCCAATCAACATTTGGTCTTGCAAAGCCATCTGCGTCCTCGCCGCTTTCAGGCACAATATCTGAATCCAGAAATTTATCAGGTAAAGCATCAGAGATAGCAATGAGTAACTCACGTGACAGCTCCTCAGATGCCTTCTTGCTCGGTGATTTGCTATCCATATAACTTTCTGATATTTCCTACAAGTCCAAATTTGTTTTGAGGATCCAAAAAATCAGATATTCCCAACATAATACCGCTTGTTTCAGTCTTCCTAATCAATTACAATCATTATCACCACTTTTCTTTTTCTTTTGTCAGTTATACTAATAAGGGGATTGAAATCATTGCACGTGCTTAGTGTCTTCGTGTGCGTTGCTGGAGAAACCCAGTTTTCTATTATATCTTGATCTCATTCTTATACACCAGTCATATGGTTAATAAGTATTAAAAATGAGTTCATAGAGTAAAGGAAAATTATTAAATTAGCAAACCATTACATGAGTATCATAATAACCAAAACATGGCTTCCAATGAAATTAATACAACACACAAATGAAAAAAAAGTGCTAGTAATTTTGAATGACATATGACCACTTCCATATCACCCTTTTCCTTGAAATATTTCCATAAGAGCCACAAGAAAAAATATGACAGCAGCATATTTAAAGTGAATGCAACGTTCACATACTACTTTCAGGGCCATTCCCCTAGTATGATAAACCCCCAACACATTGAACAGCTACGAACGTAACCAAGGTACATGTATAGAACTACCAATAAAGAGAATTTAGTGACAGTCACGCCACTGACAAAGTAAATAATCGCGTGAAATAGCAACAAATGAGGGTAGGTTAAGGCCAAGAATAGCGACAAATGACGATGCTGTCTAATTTGAATAGTTTAGAGACATCCATAAAACTGGTGAGTTATCAAGAAGGTGAAGATAGGTTCCACATTCTGTGCCGCTTGATTATTCAATTTTCTCTGTTTGGCTAGTTTCCATTTCATGGTGTACTTTGAGTGGTTTGACAACACAGATGATCGGATAGTATGTTCAACACCGGGAGCCATGGCTTA